TCTTCTTCTTCTTCTTCTTCTTCTTCCTCTTCCTCTTCCTCTTCCTCATCCTCATCCTCATCCTCATCCTCATCCTCATCTTCATCTTCATCTTCATCTTCATCATCATCATTGGATGTTGGCGAACATGACGATCCTATTTTTATCAACAGCTGCACAAAACAGTGCTCTTAAGTTTTGCCCAAACCAGACCCTTAGATTCTTTTTCTGCCTTGGCCTTGTTTGCTTTCAATCTTTCCTTGGAGGATCAAGTGAAGTGTGGTGTATTTTTCCAGGTGTTGCATCACATGTCCAAAATATTCTTAACTTTGCTTTTTTATGGTTTTGATGGTTTCCCTTGGCTTTCCCCGGTGGCTTATCACTTCCTCTTTTCTGATTTTTTTAAAAAAGTTTTTTATTTTTTTAAACAAACACAGACAAAACAATACATAAAAACATCTTTCAATTACATACAGTGTGTCGACTGGTTGCAATTCTTTTGTGCTGCGTGTCCATAGTCCTCCTTCACAAGTCACATAAATTCTCATATTTTCCATTTTATGTATATATATAAGTATTATTATCACTGTGGTTCTTTCATTTGACAATAAGTATTTGTTCCACCACTTCATATAAGATATTCAACATTTTAAACCAATATGTAATGTAACTTCCATTGCCACTTCATCTAATAAAAAATACATTCTTATATCATTTTCTCTTAAATTGTATTATTTTTATATTGTAAAGTTATCTATAAAATATATCATTTCCACACTTTTTTTTCTAACCATTGATAAAATAAACCCCATATCTTATAATATTGTTTTTCTTCTTGTTCTCTAATTTCAAATGTCAATTTACTCATTTCAGCACATTCCACTATTTTCTTAATAACTTCGTCCTGTGTTGGTATTTTCTCATTTTTCCAATTCTTTGCAAATACAATTCTAGCTGCTGTTAGTACATTCACAATCAAATATATCAGTTCTCTACTGTATATCTCTGGTACAATACCCAATAAAAATATCTCTGGTTTAAAATCAATATGACTTCATTTTTTCCAACCATGTGTGGATTGTAGTCCAATATTTTTTCGCCTCTGCGCATGTCTACCACTTATGGTAAAATGAGCCAGGTATCTGATGACATTTCCAACATTTTTCGAATTTATTCTTAAACATTCTTCCTATTCTCATTGGGGGAAGATGCTACCTGTAAAACATCTTATACAAATTTTCTTTAGATGCAGTTGACATTGTCATTTTATAATTTTGAGACCATAGTTTTTGCCATCTCTCTAGGTCAATCCCGTATGCAAAAATTTTCCCCCATGCCATCATTGTTTCTTTAACTTGTTCTTCTTCTAATTTAACATCTAATAAATATCCATATAATTTCTTAATCACCTTTTCATCAGTACCTGTTAAAATTTTATCTAAGGCAGTCAATTTATCATAAAAACCTTCTGTTTTGAGATCTTTATCTTATCTAGAATGTATTTGCGCATATGAAAACCAATTCATCCTTATACCTTGTTGCTCCAGTTCTTGCATAGATTTAAATTCACCCTTCTCATTCATAATTTCGCCATAACCTAACTGTTTGCTCATTTCTGATTTTGTCAACCCAGCTTATATGTAACAGTTGCCTGTAAATCCACATTTCACATGCTTCTCTCGTCTCTTCAAAGGGCTTTCTGTCCGAGACCAACTCTCTGCTCTGTAGAGCAGGATAGAAAAGATGTAACATCTGACAAGCCTGATTTTTCTGACAAGCAATCTTTTTAGGAAAAAAAAGTCTTAGAATAGAATAGAAAAATGGGAATATGGAACAGGGAATAGGGGGAGAAGAGAAGAGAAGAGAAGAGAATAAGAGGATGGAATGGAATGGAATGGAATGGAATGGAATGGAATAGAATAGAATAGAATAGAATAGAATAGAATAGAATAGAATAGA